GCTTGGAGTCAGTGGCAGAACTACCAGGGTCGCAGCAGTTGTATACATTGAGCACCATCCCCCAGCCAATCACCCCTTTCATGAACTTACTAGGAGTCCTCACATCAGCCGACCATTCACTACTGTTACATGGATGGCAAAAGTGGCAGACAGGGGCGGGGAGAAGGCGGGGAAGAGGCAGAGCGGGAGGGGGGCCAAGTTGCTGCACCTTTGGCCTCTGGGTTGTACTTGCCCCCTAGGCTAAAAGTTGCCAGTCAGCCCCTGCTGTTCAGTATCACCTTAGCCACTGCGGAGCCAACTAGGCGTTGTGTAAAAGAAGGACAGAAGTACAACCTAAATACAAATATATACTACATAAATTTAGGAAAATGTGGAAAACTTGTGAGCTACACAAAGAGTAGTTAAAGCAACTTTCTGCACAAACTGGGTTCTGTTCTACTCTTCAATACTGCTTCAATATGCAGCATGTACAAAACAGTAGTGCATCAGTCTTTCATCGTCTATGTAAGACTACCATATTGATACAAATCTCTCGATCATAGAGATGTCATACAGGAACAGTGCAGACCTACCTGAAAATATTAGTGATAGAATCCAGAAGGCCTCCTGTGCCAGGCTGAGAGTGTCTCTTACTAGAGGGAGCAGAGGAATAAGACAAAACTTCAGTAAGATGCAAACCGAAAATGATTCCTGCAACTCATGTACAAATGGCCACAAACCTACAATAATACACCAGGATAACATGCAGCTGCAGGCAAGACAAACTAAAGGGCTAGTATGAAATTGAAACCACGGAGTGCCAAATAGTATGTTCGACATACACGAAGATTAGTTACTATGGAATGCATGTGAATGACAGAGGATAGAAGCCATCCAAAAGTAAGAGGAAAGAAGTTCACTCCCCACTATTACAAACAGAAGAATTACAGAAGTGCAGCAAACTAGTTTTAAGTGTACTTTCCAATAGTGGACTTTTACATAAAGCTTCTATTCTTTATTAAACATGATTATCCTTTTTTTCTTTTTTTTTTTCTTTTACTCCAAGCTTCAGAATACAAGCATTTTATTCTTTTAGATTGTAAGCCCTCACGGGCAGGGCCCTCCTTACCATCTTGTCTTGAATTGTATTGTGATTGTAATGTCTTCCTTATATTGTAAAGCGCTGTGCAAACTATTGGCGCTATATAAATCCTTGAGACTTTTTATTGTCTATATTGCTTTTTTGTCTTTGTGTGGATATTTTCTATGCCTCATTTGTATGAAGGCTCATATATGTGACTCACTTATATATGTTTTAATTTATTGGATATGTATGATTATTAGCTCGGCACAATATTGTTTTTCACATTTTTCAGATATTTAGTTATATCCTTAGTGCTTGGTAGCTCTTATTTCCACATTACACTTACTGGTGCTGATCACCTTTATTGCTATATAAATCCTGTATAATAATAATAATACTGGTTTTATTAAGCAAGCACTATGATGTCAGAACTGAGGATTTTAAGATTAATAACTTCTATTCAATAAAGATGTAAGTCGTTGGGGAGCCCTCCGCACACCTCACAGCAGTCCCGGCCAAAATAAGAAAAAATGGTGCTCGCAGTGATGTTGGTTCACGGATGGCGCTGTGCAAATACAGAAGAAACAGGAAATCACTAGCACTCCATAATGAAAGTAAATATGTCCTCTTTATTTGGACAAAAGCGTCACAAAAAATAACCTGTTTTTTTTGTGACACTTTTGTCCAATAAAGAGGACATACTAACTTTCATTATGGAGTGATGGTGATTTCCTGTTTCTTCTATTCAATAAACACATTAATTTGATGAATAGCCGTTTTACTTCTACTGAGTATGCATTAAAGCATATAGGGTCTATTTTACCACTCTGACTTCACTTTTCAATCCTCAGTACATTAAAGTGACCCTGTCACCAACTTAAATAACTGCGGGTAAAATAAAGTATATTACATGTTTATGTGCAGTGTTACTCCTTTTCATAACTCTTAATACACTTGCAATGTGCCCTTAAACTGCTAGAAAAATGGACTCGTTAGTTTCCTTTGCATGTGATAACCATTTCCTCTTCTAGTTTAACTCTATGTGCTGGGTCAGGTCCCTTGCTTCACCTCCTACATAACCTTTTTTTGTAGCTGCTAGGGGAAAAATAAAGGGGAATACTATAGAACCTCACTTGAGCAATAGCTTGGCGCATGCTGGGACTACTGACATCACATCCAAGATGGGCCAAGAACCTCCTCATAAGATGAGCATACTTACTGCTCCACAGACAGAGGTTCCTTGGCAGCATCAGCCAATTCCTTCTGAAGTCGTGCCTGTCTTCTCCTTAAGGAAGAAAAAAAAAGTTATTCAAACAAGCTATCTTATTATGGAGTTCATTAAGTATAACATCTGTAAGCAATAGGATATAGGAGAGACAATATATTCAAAATACTAATTTATATACAACGAAATTGCCACTTAGCTCCCCCACCTATATCTTTACTTTCCCTACTTATCAGTGAGGTCACCCATGATGATAAAAGAGCATCCTGGATACAAGAGTTAAGGTGAACTTTAAAAGGAGAACTATGAGGTGAGAGATTTTCACTCATCCCCATGGTTAGAGCCGACCTGTGACAATAAAACTGTCATGCGTCGCTCGCCCACTTTCCGATCATTTCCACACAGAGAGCAGGGACTGTCAGTCATCATTACCCGCAAGGATTCCCCCCTCCGCTCTACAATCCTCCAGCGCTGACAGGAGGAACGGAAAAGGGAGTAGGCGGGAATAGCTGGCTCTGCCTCTAGATAGGCAGAGCCAGCTGTCAATCAGCCAGATTGGTGGATCTCAACAGTATTGTCGGGATCCGTCCTGGTTGAGGCGCTCTCAGCGCATAGCGAGTTATAGCTCGCTATATACTAAGCTTTGGGTCACGGGAGGTTAGTATATGTCCTCCCATGACCCTTAAGAGAACTACGGGGGAAAAAAAAAGGTTACCCCAAAGTTCTCTTTGAAAAAAAAAAAGAAGAAAGAGTATACATAGTCCAACTGCTTATGACTCTGGATGCATAATGGAACATGCAGTTTTCGCAGAAGTTTTATTCATATACTCAGTGTTAGCAAAGTCTTTAAAAGTTTATTTTAATGCAATGCTTTATATTGACTAACACAATAGACTAAATAAAATGCAAGACTTAAAAAAAAAAAAAGTTAATTTCCTTCATTAATCATTAAGGATAATTTCTGGCATTATGTCTGATGATGCTTCAACTTTGCTCTCATTGATGGCTATGGGTGGCCTTAAAAGCTTGTTCCAGCAACTAAGCATATTACTTTGCTACACTAGGGAGAAATGAACACTTCTGACCTTCTGGAGCACCTGTCTCAAATAAATATTTCAACTTTGAAAGTCTCCTCATTCCCACATGTTGGACGAAGTGCAATGTGAAGAGGAAAGGAAGCAATCAACTACACTTTTGCAGCTTTATCAGGCAAATCACTTGAAAAGTAGTAGTGGGGTTGTGCTGCTATAGTTCTAAAAGACAGTTATTTCCTTACCGCACATTCTATAGGAGATATCTGCCCATCTCCAGGTCGTCCAATGCAAAAAACATCCTGCTGTTTGCCTGATATTTGAAAAATTGACATCAAATATCGCATCTGTTTCCCCTTTATAACCACATACTCATAGGGGATCGTAGTCCATCACCCTTTGAAAGCATTAAAGGATATCTGTAGGATATCATACTAGCCCTTCAAGATCACACACACTTCTTGTTCCTGGCGATTGGTTGTGCTACTAATTCTCACTTTCCATTTCTTACATTTTCCAGAAATCACCTACTCCTACCCCCAGTTTTCCCTGTACTCTACATATGAAACGTTTTGCTCATTATTTTACGAATCGTTTCTTTTAAAGTGGACCTTCATTGCCTTTTTCTTCTCTAATGAATATTGCTCCCCCTACCTTTGCATGAAATCAGTGACATTTCTTTTTTTTAAATATCTTTTTTTGGAACACAACCTGTTCTTCCATATTTCTTGCCCAGGCGAGATTGACATCCCAAGCTGCTCAAAGCCTCCTGGCCTACTCAGGTCACACATCCTAGGTGGCTTCAGGGCAATCTAGAATACACTGTGCATATAAAGAGGGGGCCGGCTGCAAGAACTTAAGACAGCTGACTCTCGATGATGTAAGCAAAGGTGTCAGTGCAGGAGTTGGGTTGTAGTGTCCTTCTGCTGATTAGAGCAGGACAATGCTGGATTAGCTGAATGTGTAGGTAAGTTTGGCGTATAACCCAAGAAACCAGGTGAGGCTCCATTCACACTAGAGAGGGAGCCGCTCTAAAACAGAAATACAATGCACTTTAACCTCCCTGGCGGTATTCCAGAGTGTGGCTCGGGGTTAATTTTCAGGACCAATTTTCAGGTAACCCCAAGCCACACTAGGGATTGCACAAAAGTGTCACTTACCTTGTCCCTACGAGCCCGCGGTGTCCTCTGCTGTACGCGGCCGGCCGATGGCAGCATCTGACTTTTAGTTTCGTTTTCGGCGTCACAGCGGGAGGCGGAGCCGACGGGAAATTCAAAAGTGAAAACATGCAATATACACACAGAATACACACAATACAATGTAATCTGCTACAATTACATTTATATATCAAAACCATTTCACTTCAATTTTGTCCCCAGAGCTTTGTCCAGTGCCCTGACTGCACTTTTACTGTTCTTTCTGCCTGGAAACTTGAGAAAGTGCATGGCATCAAAAAATCGTCCCTTTAGGTCAAAAGCGGTTTTAGACCAGGTAGAAGACAGCGATAGTAAATTAGAATCACTTGATCATACATCAGACCGCCAGGGAGGTTAAATGTGCAGTGTTCAGACATTTGCTGCGGCCCGGAAAATAGTCCAAGCTCCATTTTTTGGAGTCTGGGCGTTCGCGGCTATACAATAGCTGCAAACGTGGAGATTCCATGCAGTTGTTTCACTTATAGCGTTTGCGCCCTGTGCGTCCTTCCGAACGGAAAACGGTGTGGGTAACACAAACACTATATGTGAATGGAGCCCAACGGAGAAGGGGAAAAGGAAAAGAAAAAAGAAAAAAACCCCCACCACCACAAGGGACACAGTTCCTCTTTAGCAAGAACATGATAAAGTACACCACAAGAAAATAACATGCAATAAGCAAAATAAAATGCTATGTGCCTTTATTATGTGACAAAGTAAAAGAAACAGGTCACCAGCACTCGATTGAATAAATATATCCTTTTTTAATGGACAATTGTGTCACTACAAAGGACATATTTATTCAAATCGAGTGCTGGTGACCTGTTTCTTTTACTTCGTATCTTGCACGGTGCCATCCGTGATAGTCACTTGCACGATTCCGCGCAGATTGCCGCGCGGTCAATAGTCTCCAAGGTGTGAACCGATCGCGCTGTGGGTGCCATTATTTTCTAATGGTACCCCAGTCCTGCCCGGTGGATCACGCGGTTTTCCTGCCGCAATTCCACCCAGGCTTACTAAAACAGCCGCACGCCGTGTATCGCAAAAAGAAGCTACTTGTACCTTTTTTCTGCAATTGCCGCGTGGATGTCACCCCATTGAAATCATTGGGGCTGCGAAGCAATAGCTGCCTGCATTATACAGGACCGCGCGATCCCGGGACGCACGTCCCGGGTGTCATGCAGGTGTGAACCTAGCCTAAGTTAAAGAAAAGTACAAGTTAAAAGGTAATCGGAAGGTAGAATTCTGCTACAAATGGGAGTGGGAAGTCTCCCCACTGACATCCATGCAAGACAGAATAAGCCTCTGGGTTCCCCCACAAACATCTACCCAAACATACCTAGATTAAGTTAAATATTTTTTTCAAAATTAAACTTTTGTTTATTTACGGATCATAAACATTATGAATAATTGGTTTTAAGGCAGTTTTACAACAGCTTTATTTTTGCTAGGTATTAATGAATGGACAATGGAATAGACTCCCCCAGGAGTTAGTCCTAGCTAGCTCAGTTAATTGTTTAAAAAAAAAAATCTGGATGTATTCCTAAATGCACAGAATATTACTGGATATTGAGTTATTATAGGTATATTAAGCATCAGAGATTGTTGATCCAGGGAATATAGATCACCATTGCCTGCACCCTCTCCCCCACACACAAACCCCCCCCCCCCCTCAACATCTTGCTGTAGTTCCCACCTTCACCCCATAATCAGCTTCTAGTCTGTGTCCTTTGATCAGTTCAAGTGAGATGGGACACCGACTACAGCTGGGCATACACGCTTATGTTTTCTTTGTTCAATCTGTGTGCTGAACGAAGAGAATATAACCAATTTCTCCATCCGCACTTATGAGCGTGGATGGAGGAAGCCCCAGCTGTTTTGCAATGTATTCTGACAGTGGCCACCAAAACAGAGAATACCCAAACAGAGCATGCAGACGATTCGCTGCAAGCCAAAGATCTTTCAACCTGCCCCTTAGATCAGCTGTTTGAGGGATGCAAGGTGGCAGGGTGCCAACAGGGGGACCCACTGTGTGAATATTGGCCAGTTCAACAAGAACCAGATGGGGGGAAAAAAAACAGAAGGGAAAATTAAATAATAATAATAATAACCACTTTAACAAAATCTGTCTAGCTAAAATACTGCATGATTGGACATTTAAAACAGTAAGCATCAAAGCTATGCAATACACATACTTTTGCAAGTTCTAAAAGAAAATAAATAAATCTAAACTAAAAAAGTCGGTCAGACTATAAGCACCCTAACATGTTTGATGCAGTCATATTCCATTCACCTAATTCAAGAATATTTGCTGCTTAGGACAAAAGTGAAATATGAATTAGATATGTTGACATGTATTTACACTAAAACTCAATGGCTATAGCTGAAAGGTGCATTCATAGAAGCAGGTAATTACCTCCCCACGCTTTTTATGGAGTTCAGTCAGCTCCTCCTGTTTTATCCTCATCTGAGCCATATCCTGTATTGATTCATTACGCATTCCATCTGGACCTGGGCTACAATGGAGAGAAAGAAAAAAAAAACCCCGTTTTAAAATTTTCCAAAACGGGAAAAGTACCAAAGGATAATCAATAACAAGTTTTATCACAATTAACCACTTGAAGACCGGGGTGTTAAACCCCCTTCCTGTCCAGGACATTTTTCAGTATTCAGCGCTGAGGTACTTTGACATTTATTCAGTCCTGCACCGCTGTACTGAAATTAATTTTATATAATTTTTTGGGATGTGGGACAGATAGAGCTTTCTTTTGGTGATATTTAATCACCACTGGGTCTTTTATATTTTTTTTACTATATAAAGAAAAATGTACAGAAA